AAGCATGCAGGTGCAGCAGGCAGTAAAGAAGGTAAATGGTATGTTGGTCTTCATTGTGAGAGGTTTCCAGTACAGGAGCAGGGGATGTGTTTTTGCAGTTATGCAGGGCCTTGGTGAGACCACACCTAGAATATTGTGTGCAGTTTTGGTCTCCTTTTCTGAGGAAGGATGCTCTTGCTCTCGAGGGAGTGCAGCAAAGGTTTACCAGGCTGATTCCGGGGATGGTGGGACTGACGTATGAGGACAGATTGACTAGGTTAGGATTGTTTTCACTAGAGTTCACACAAATGAGGGAAGATCTCATGGAGACTTATAAAATTCTGCCAGGACTAGACAGGGTAGATGCAGGGAGGATGTTCCCGATGGTGGGTGTGATCAGAACCAGGGCTCACAGTCTGAGGATTCGGGGTAGACTATTTAGGACGGAGATGAGGAGACATTTCTTCACCCAAAGAATGGTGGAGCAGGCTCGAAGGTCTGAATGGACTGCTATGATTCTATGTATCTCTCCCTTCCAGTCTACTCTCTGTCTCTCCTTCTACCTCAAAGTCTCTCCTATAAGGCTCCCATCTTGTCCGTCTCTCTCGGATGTGAACTCTATTCTGTATTCCTCCCTTCCAGTCTGTGTGTGTGTCTCAATCTTTGTCCTGTATCTGTCTCTGCCTCTCTCTGTATCTCAAACTGTCTCTCTCTCCCCCTCACTCTTTCTCAGTATCTGAAACTGTGTCCTGTCTCTCTCTGTGTATCTCAAACTTTCTCCTGTCTCTCTCTCTCTCCCTCTAGAATCTCAAACTGTCTCTCTCACTCTCCTTATCTCTCTCTGTGATTTGAATTCTCTCCTGTATCTCTCACTCTGTCTTGCTGTCTCTCTTTCCCTGTCTCTCTGTCTCTTTGTCTCTGTGATTTGAATTCCCTCTTGTATATCTGTCTGTCTGTCTATCTATTGATTGCTCCCTTTCTCTCTTATTTTCAAACTTGCTCATCTCTCTCTCTCACTCTGCCTTTTTACAATCGGTTGCTCCCCCTCTATTCTGTCTCTGTTTCTCACTCCCTGTTACTGTTTCTCTCTCTCTCTTACTTGTTCAGTATATGTTTCACCCTGGTTATATTTCTTGCTCCCTCTCTCTGTGTCTGTGTTGTGGTCAGAGGCTCATTTGAGCACTGTGATTAAAAAAATACAAATTGTTTCCTGTCAAGAATCTCCTACACAACTGGGGGGGGGGGGGGGGGGGGGGGGGGGGGGGGGGGGGGGGGGGGGG